GTTTCTGAAGCGTCTTTCCGGCAGCGGCACGTGTTTGCATTTTGACGATATGGGCAAAGCTAACAAGATGGTCTCTGCGGACAGACTGTCTGCTCCCGGCTCATGTCTCACTCGATTGATCCAATGAGGACTGCTGGCTCGACGGTGTTTCAATCATGTTGAAGTACCTTCCTGACTGGCAATCCCGACAGGTGTTTCACCATTTAAGATTGTTTGTAAGAGGCAATCAGCCGATCATTATATTTAGGTATGAATTGTGAATGCCAGTATATCTCCTGCAAAGTAACGTACTGTTTGGATGCTCCAGGTCCTGGGTGCCAGGAGTATGTGGGACGCGGGCTTCTGCTAATAAACACTCTCTTACTGGCAGTTGAAGTCGAGCCGCTGAACTCACCCATGTATCGAAGAAAGCGTCCTATGTGATTATAGCTGAACTCGCATAACCGCATGTTCGCTCGTAGTTTCTATCCATGTTACAGTGACCCCATCTGAATTTGTTGATTGTTGCGTTGAGCGAAGTGTTTCAAGGTGTCGGAAGAGAGACTCTAAACTACAGAAGGCGAATATTGTCCCAGTACGGAACTTGATAATACTCGTAAATGTCGGACAAAGCGTCTAACTAACGCAAAGCAAAACCTCCAGTAAGCCGACTAACGAATAATAGTAGACGTACGTATCACTTGACTGACAGAGACATCAATATTTAATTCCAGAAGATACATATTGAAAATTTTAATCTTGTTGGGATTTGAACCTGGGTCATCCGCATGAAAGTCGCGCGCTCTCCCTGTTAGACTGGCATTTTAGGGCGTTTAGTGCCAGCGTCAGGAATTTGGTGCTGGATTCAGTTTGAGGGCCCAAGGAGCAAGGTGGCATCTTGCTCACTTACAACATCACAAGCTTCCTGCTAATCTTGCGCATTCACAACTTCCGAACATTGCAGCATTCTTCTAGCGTCGTTCTTTGAACGAGCTTGTGCCACTTTTCGGTTGTGGCCCCCTCCTAAGGCTAGATAACCTAGTCGCCCATCAACATTGAACCGTTATTAGTAGCTAGAGAGCATAGGACAGATAGTAGGCAACCCTGGACGGATGGATTGGTTAACTTGCTTCAACCTAAGTCGAGGATTTTTTTAAAAAATCGACATTACTCGAGGAATGAGCAGTCTGCGCGAAATGGACAAAATACAAAGAAAGACTTCCCTGCGTCACGAATTGTCTCCGGGGACACCGCCTCCAAGTCGGCGCCTCAGATTTGCACTACAGCCACTCATACTTTCCCACGTCCTCCCTGTTTTTCCATTCTTATTCGCTCTTTATTTATTTCCTTTTTCATCCACAGTGTGCGACTTTACTGCCTATCATCGAATATTCTCACGATCGCTTCTCAACAATTTTTTTTTCGGGGGTGTTGAGTCACTCGAGCCGACGGATGCCAAAAAAAAGAGAATGTTGCCCACCTCGGTATTCTTCCTCCCGGAATGGCATGTGGTGTCCAGTTTGGTGGTGAATATTCCTATGGCAGTATGCTATCGGAAGACCGCAGAAACGACCTTGAGAATGCTATACTTGGCTATCTTATGTAAGTTGAGATCTTCTACTATTTCTAGCCACCTTGTCTCAGGGAACACCATCCTAAAGTAGGATTGCAATTCAGCATAGCGAGCGGTACTAAAGACTCAGCTGAGTTCAAAGGCTTTCTCGAGGAGAAATGGGCATGCTCTGCTAAGCTCACAACCAGAGTTCTACAATTGGAGAAAGCTTTGGGGACGCTCCCAAGAGCTAGGAAAAGTGAAACCTAAACTCCCTTCCCTCAAACGAGCGCTGATGAGGTCTGTCAGCCGCAAAAGGGCCTATGATTCCATCTGGTCCTTGTTACGGGATAATGCACCTCTCTGGTCGACCTGTTGTGACATGTATGGCGTTCCTCCCTTCCTGTCAGCCGGAGTTGATTGCTATCGGCCGTGTGAGGCGTCTTGAGATATTCCAAGTATCGCTTATGTATTGTTTCAGTCTGATGGAGTAGTAAGCATATATGATCCCAATGAGAGGCAAGTCGTCGAAGATCTTCGAGAACATTCGTATAGAATCACGGACGTCGCTTCCAATTCCGACGGTAATTCCTATTAAGTGTCGTTTGACTTTGATGCGGTCCATCAGGATCATTCATTGCTACAGCAGCTATGGACTGCACAGTGAAATTGTGGGATTGTATTTCATCGAGAATATCTTGGCGATGCACTAGGACGTTGCTCGCAGATCCAGAAGGTGGCGCTATTGTAATACTAGTGGATTTCTCACTCATTTGTCAACGTTGGTGGCTAGGGGGACACCATATTGAGCTCACCAATTCTTAGTAGTACCATTGGTCATCCTTGCAGATGTGTCGGTTCATTTCCAACTCGGAATCTTTGCTGACATTGTCATTTGGTGGCGGCCTTCAAGTGTGGGATACCCATAGTGGTCAATGTACATCTAAAATTCTCCCAGCTCTTACGGGCACATCATCATCATTGGCGTTAGCCTTCGATGATGGGGTAAGCAGCAGCAGTCCTACGATCAACGTGTGGATGCTATCCCTTCATTATCAGTGGATTGCTTTCGGTATGGGCAAACGGCTTGTCGCGTTCTCGGCATCCGAACATGCCGCTGGACATCCCATTTCATTACCGTCTATGATTGGTGAAGATGTTGGAGTCGCATTAAATGCGGTAGGACTACTTGGTAACGTACATAGAGTCACTCCTCGTCGGTAGGATATACTGCAAATAGAGATAGTGCGTCGACCTAACAGCGGCCCTCTTGCTCTAACCTGTTCAAAGGATGCACCAGTAAGATGTTTGTATGTTGTCGGCCATCGCCTATTCAACGTAATTGAAGATACGGCTTTGGGATATCAACACAATGCGTGTGCTGACGAGCTATGATGGTTATGCGGGGGTATGCCGCGGTATTACGTCATTGGGGCAAGGGTGATTAGTTGTGGTAGAGGATCGATAACCCGGTTGTTGCTGTAGTTACTTCTATAGCGTCGCTGATGATTCTGATTGTCTTGGACATATATGGAGTATACAATTTTCGGAAGCTCAAGGGCAACCGTCGGAAAGGATGCTCCACCGAGCTAAACTGGCGGAAAATGGTGATAGGAAGAGCTTTCATTATTCAACTAAAAATTGGGAAGATCGGAATCAGTTTTTCTGGGTGGGTTTGACGACCCTTTCACATGAGCAGGTACACTAGTAGGGAAGGCGCTCGATAGGGTTTCGGCCTTTCCGAATTATCTGACCCGTTGTGCAGTTCTGAGTCGAGACAAACTAATAGTATCAGCAAGCGGTGGAGTGCTTCTGACTTGGAAATGCAGAGTTGGTGACGATCGCTGTGAAGGTAGTAGTTAATACATGTACAATGTGATGAGCATTCTATCTAAGTCGTCTCGTAGTCTGAGAGTCACTTGTGTTGATAGTTATTCAATCATCCACCCTCGTTTAGATGGAATCCACAGGAGCTCTAATTCGGGCATAAAGTTCCGGAATATAGAAAACCTATATTTCTCTTTATCAGCACTCTCTACAGTGGGAGTTACTAGAAACTTCGGTGGCAGGCTTGAAGACCGTTGAGGTCTTGAACAGCCAATAATGAACAGCCGTCTAGGCCCTCAGCTGAGGATAATAGCGAACATATATTCCAGCACTGATCTGGTGCTGGTCAAAAGTGTGTGACATCGACGGGAATGTGTTTTTTCAGAGCAAAATTAATGGCATTTGAGAAGAGTGCTCGTGGTATGTTGATCGCCTTCTAGAACCCCGATCTGGCTGAGCTGAAGAACTCCTAGGAGGCTGTGGTGAAAGACACATCTCAGGTGTGGTGGAAAGAGGTCGAATTAGTTGGCACTTTCCAAATGGTAGGTTCATGCACGTATGATGAAGTTGAAGGCAGCATCAAGGCTCTAGCGGCTGAGGCTAAGTCCCAACAGAAGGAGCATGAACAATCTGCTGCTCAGGCTACCACGGCTAAGTCGACTGCTACTACTGCTGCTGGACATACCACTAAGAAGTGAGCTACTCAGGGGACTTTCTTGAGGGGAGGTATATGTTATAAATAGTAATAGCAATGGAGTTTCACCACCCGTCTTGCGTCAAGTGGCGTAATATTCTGTGAAAGACCCGATATTCTTGTGAGATATGTTTTTCTACCAGTGTTTTCATAAAATGCAATATATATATATCCGTTTTCACCCTACTTTATCGATGGGTATTTGATATCACATGGAACCACATCATTACCTGATTAGTGCTCTTATATCGTACATGTAAGTCGTTGATCAGTGATAGAATAGTTGATGAGAAATGCAAACCGCGAGAGTGTATAGCACGAACACAAATTGCCGTCTGTCGCGAGGCAATTAACGTCGGTATACAGCATTATAGCAGTATACAGCAGTATACAGCATGAATATATGTTCGCTTTTCTCAGCCGAACTCAGGAGTTTCCTCACTTGTTATTGAAGAGGGTAGAAGTTTACAAAAACTGCTCTAAATTTCCTTGCTGTCACGAACACATGTGTTTGATGACTATGTGTGTATTCCGCAATACTGTGAATGGCAGACTCGGACATTCTGTCAGGACGTAACGGTGCGAATTTCCGTCGTCTGGCGAACCAGTTTGGAGTGTTGGTGGATGAAGTAGAGCAGCAGCAGTAGCAGTGGCAGCCTCAGCACTACTCTCAGAGTGATGCTACTGGTGGGAGTGGTGATGAGGGAGGGTCGCTCATAGTGAATAGTACGGCATAGTAGAATTGCAAGAATTCGCAAGAATTGATCTCACTCGGGCATATCTTAGGTTGGCATAGCCGCCCCATCCAGAGGAATTGATCTTACTCGGGCATATCTTAGGTTGGCATAGCCGCCCCATCCAGAGGAATTGATCTTACTCGGGCATATCTTAGGTTGGCATAGCCGCCCCATCCAGAGGAATTGATCTTACTCGGGCATATCTTAGGTTGGCATAGCCGCCCCATCCAGAGGAATTGATCTTACTCGGGCATATCTTAGGTTGGCATAGCCGCCCCATCCAGAGGAATTGATCTTACTCGGGCATATCTTAGGTTGGCATAGCCGCCCCATCCAGAGGAATTGATCTTACTCGGGCATATCTTAGGTTGGCATAGCCGCCCCATCCAGAGGAATTGATCTTACTCGGGCATATCTTAGGTTGGCATAGCCGCCCCATCCAGAGGAATTGATCTTACTCGGGCATATCTTAGGTTGGCATAGCCGCCCCATCCAGAGGAATTGATCTTGTGTGGATCAATGTGTGGATGTTATCCCTTCATTATTAGTGGATTGCTTTTGGTATGGGCAAACGGCTTGTCGCGTTCTCGACAGTCGAACATGCCGCTGGACATCCCATTTCATTACCGTCTATGGTTGGTGAAGATGTTGGAGTCGCATTAAATGCGGTAGGACTACTTGGTAACGTCCATAGAGTCACTCCTCGTCGGTAGGATATACTGCATTATTAGTTTATTAGTTACTACTGTTTATTAGTTCTTGTACACGTGTACCCGAATTCGTATGGAAACCTCTTTAAAAAGCGAGAAACTGCTGAGGTGAGCTGAGGAATGCGAATATATATCCCTCCAATACTGATTTTACTCGAGTCTCATCCTTTACACGGCTTAATCTTAGTCGCAACCGTTACGGGAAGAGACTATATGATGTGCGCTGTTATGCGTCATTGCTGTTGAGTATTTGTTGTTGATTTAGATGGAGTTTTTGAGAGCAGTCGTGGCGTCGTTGCGAAGTCAAATTGCGGTGCTCGAAGATGCTCTTGCTGAGGCTAGGAGGAAGGAGATGGGGTAGGTTGGGGATGGGATGGATTTGGAAATGAAGTGGTAGGGATATAAAGGGAAGATTTGAAATTGAAGATGACGAGGAGGCTGATGATGGCAGTGGTAGAGGGGTCCAAACTTGCATCTCGGGTGAGGAGAGGGAGGTCCCGGGTTCGATCCCTAGTAGCGGGATTTTTCAAGTGGAAGAAACGAGTAGTGCTTTTGTGAGAAGTGAGCAGACAAGAAGCCCTTCCATGACATTCTTGGAAGAAATACTCATTAACGAGAGAGTGTTCTTCGAACTTCTAACGAGGTTTCGGGATTCCCCACACCGTTCAGAGATCTACTTCCCGAATGGGGCCGATATGCCAGAGGACTATACCATTCAGAAATCTATTTTCCGAATGGGGCCGATATGCCAGAGGACCATACCATTCAGAAATCTATTTACCGAGTGGGGCCGCTATGCTAGAGGACTATACCATTCATAAACCTTTGTCAATGTATCACCATGTGGGTACTTCATGAACAGTTTTGGTGTAGTTCGGTTCTCACGGTAGTTGATAGTTGTATGGTCAGGTGTACCCCGAGGTTATGAGTGAGTATATTCAAAGTCGAATCGATAGAGAAGTACAACTAGCAGTGGCTCGAGCATTAAAAGTGAGGAGGAGGAACTAACCCCCATTGTGTGGATCACTTCATATACACTGTCGATGA